GGAAGAATTGTTTTTTATTTCACCATAATAATTTTTCAGGTACTCTATTCTGCGTAACATATAGGCGTTGTAAATTTTAGAATCCTCGTAATTCTGAACATATTCATTCAATGCCAGCGAGTCATTTTTCAGAAAACGTAATGTTGCTTTATGCGCGATGAAACTCGCGATGTTCTCATTGAAGTCAACAGAATTTGGAGCATAATAAGTAGCATGAAATAATTCGTGAAACAACAAATTGCACAAACTACCTTTACTACGTTTGAGCATACTACTCAGAACAGGATCGTGCAGCCAGCCCAAAGTACTCCAGGCTGAAACGCTTCGCAGATCGGCATCGTAGCCAGTAACAACCATATGATTGTAGGCGCTTGTAGCTAACTCCTTTTTAAAAAATCCTTTGTAACTAACCTTGCCAACAATTGGAAATTTCCATTCATAAGGTTTTAAATCGTAAGGCTCACAGGCTGTTATTACCCATAATACGGGATCACCTTTTTGATCGTAAATTTCTGTGAAATTTTTTGTTGGTTTGTACCCAAGACTGTCTACAGAATAGTTCTTAACCTCATCAATCAGCAAAAGATTATTTTTTTCGTGCTCAGAGAGCTTTGTTTCTTTTGAAAATTTCTCAAAGGACTGAGTGTTTAGAAGCAATTGTAATTGTCCTTTGCCCTGGTACACAAGATAAATGCTGGTTTGGTAATTAATTGCGGCGATCAGAAAAAAAACAAAGAGACACAGATTTGCAAAAAGTCTCAACCATCTTAAACTACTAATCATTGCGGGTTATTTGTATCTTTGTTCAGAAACCTGATTATAAAAATAGTGTTTAAAAAAATCATATTTTCTTTTTTGACAATTATTGGTTCTTTTTGTTTTGCTCAAAAAAACGATTCCTCTTATTACGTTTTTAAACAGGTAGAGAGAAATCTGCAGGGCCTTCAGAAAAAAGCTTTTTTCAGCAGAAACGAAAAAGAGCGCATTGAAGGAAACAAAGAGTTTATGAGGGAGTGGGAAAAAATTGTTGCCAATCCAAAAATTCTGGAGTATCCTTTTGATAGTCTCCGCGAGGTTTCCATCCTGGTTCCAAAAGATAAAAAATTTAAACTTATAACCTGGAATCTTCCTTTGGAAAACGGCACTCACGCATTCTTCGGTTATCTTCTGGTGAATACGAGTAAGAAGGTAAAAACAGGATTTATGAAACACGAAATTCAGTTTTCGTATGAATTTTTCAGACTCATCGATCGTTCAGCTACCGTGAAAAATCCGGAGACCTATATTGGCACAACCGACAAATGGTTTGGAATGCTTTATACACAGCTTGTGCAATGCGACGATTATTACACTTTGATTGGCTGGGATGGAAATGATAAACTGACGCAAAGAAAATTTATTGATGTGCTTTATTTTCGTGGAGATGGCACTCCGGTTTTTGGAAAAGATGTTTTTAGATTCCC